TCTGTGTGTGTTCGGTGTTCAAGAGACAGCCATCTAATAAACGTGCTTAATGTTAATCAAAGAACAAAAGAAAATCATTAACTGACTGAATATCTTTCGTAAATTTAATGAGGATTAATCAATATTTTATTTATGAAAAGAAAACTATACAGTGTTTTTAAACTTTTGATTTCAACTTCTGTACCTGATATTTGTTCAGTTTTATTTATTTATGCTATTGCTGATTAATTTGTTTACTTGTCTTGTCTTGTATATTAGTCTAGTTGTTTTTTTTCTGTGGTATTTTTTTGATAAAACCATAGACATAAAACAGAATAAATATGTTTGACATCTAAATATTTGACGTCAAATTTGTTGAATGGGTTTTTTTTTATCTTATTGGAATCGGAATTAGGAATCGATAAGAATCGGAATCGATGAGCAGAATCGGAACCGGAATCGATAAAATTCAAACGATACCCAAACCTAACGATCAGTTTTTAAAAAGAAATACAAATCTTGTGCCAATTGAAAGAAAACAATTGACAAAATGGTAGAATCCAAGATTGTGTGAATCACAAAATTGTAATTTTGGGGGGGGGTGGGGTTGAAATAGACGCTATCCTGTGTATGCGAAGTAAGTTTGAGTCCAATGCGAAAACATGAACTAGCGTTTTCATGAAAAAGACAATTGAAATTTGATTGAAAATAGACTACTTAGACACCGTGTGTGGGAAAGAAGGCCGTCTGCGGTGCATTGAATTAACACTAATGACCTGTCGACTGACTGCTCAGACTTGTTTTTAAGATGTGCTGTGTTGTAAGTAACTGTTTTATAATAATGACATATTTTGCTTTTGTAAAGAGAGACACTTTCTTGACCTGTCCTGCTGGAGTATCATAATGCACTGTTGTGTAAATCGTGTGTTTAGGAACTAGTTTGGTGGATGCAGTCAGTATTTGTACAAAAACAGTGTCTTATACTCTCTGTTGACACACCAAACAAACAGCCGTGTGCAAGTGTTTACAAGAACAACTCCTGTTTCAAAGATTCAACTTCTGCCTTAATCTCCAGCTAAAGATTTCAGCTCGTCGTATAAACCCAGCGTGAGATCAGTGATGTATTACATTTCTAAAACGAATCAACTTAAGATCATATTTTAGTTTATATTAATATTTTGAATGATTTATTTATTTAGTCATTATTGCCATGGTCATTTTTATTTTAATTAAAACATTTTTTTAGTAATTTTGTTGTGTTTTTATCATTCTTATTAGTTTTTTTATATGTCTATAAGGTTTTTTATTCATTTTAATTTCCGTTTAAATTTTAGTTACTTTAGTACATCAAGTTAAACTAAATGAAAACGAGAAATATTACATGTTCCAAGAAAGTTTTCTTTATGCTTATTTTTTCCACAAAGCATTAATAATAATATAATTAATTAATTATTACACTAAAATACATCCGTGTTGTTTTCGTATAATTCATATGCTGCTATAGTTTAATAAATATTTTGAATTGTTTTTTATTTATGTATTTTTTGTTTTGATTCAATTCTAGTAGTTTTGTTTTTTTTTTATTATATTTTTTACATTTATTTCGGTTCTAGTACATCAAATTAAACTAAATGAAAATGATAAATACAATACACTCTTAAAAATAAAGGTGCTTAAAAGCTTCTTCACAGCGATGCCACAGAAGAACCATTTTTGGTTCCACAAAGAAGCATTCAGTCAAAGGTTCGTTAAAGAACCATCTCTTAGTTTCTTACCTTTTTATAATCTGACGAACCTTCTTTTGCCACAAAAAAGCTTTTGTGAAACAGAAAGGTTCTTCAGATGTTAAAGGTTCTTTATGGAACCATTTAGACAAAAAGGTTCTGCTATGGCATCGTGAAGCACCTTTATTTTTAAGAGTGTACTTTTAAACAATATTTTAGTTTGTTTTATTTTACCTATAAGAAGCATGTTATACATTTGCCTTCATATTTTCTCTGCATATTTTGAGAATTTAAATTATGACAAAAATTCAGTAAAACCTGTAAATGAAAAACGCATGTATAAAAAGGCATGTCAGACACATGCAACACTTTGTCAATCTGAAATCACATTATGAAACTAATACAATATTCTTGCATTTATTGTACAGAATTTGTATCAAACAGCCAGTTTGCGGATTGATGTCATAAAGATTCGAACACTGCCTGCCTACCTGATCAGTCCTTGTTAAAGCAGGATTGCATGATCACATTAATTCCCAAAATAAGCCCAGAGATCTCCCATCATGACCATAGACAGAGCTAACAGAGCTCAAGTATTGATATGATGGATTTGCACACTCATCTAGCTCTTATCCAGCCGTGTAATAAGACAGCACTCGCTCCTGTTTTCAGTGAATGGGGCGGGACGCTGTATTACTGTCTGATGTTTGTATCTGTCTGGATCGAGCAATATAGGAGAACACACCCATCTGTGATTTAATAAGAACATGAAAAGCTCAGCTTCACTGTTAACTTGTTTCATGTTTTATGAATCATCTGATGTGGGCAATCCCTCTGTGTAACACACACACACACCCTGCTCATGTTCTGTCACGTTGAACTGTGTGCTATCCACATGTGCTTACAGTGAATACAGACTTGTGTTTAAAACTTTAAATAATCAGTAAGTGTTTTTAATACAATACCTTGTGAACAGATTAATCTTTCAGCTTATGCGTTTATGCAGAGTGACTTACAGAAATGATTGTTACACTTTCCTGATTTGCCAATGTCTACCACCAATGAAAATAAAAAAAATAATAATAATTTGTTACATTTTTTACAATTTTACATTATTTGACCCTCTAACTCTAGCACTTTATATTCTATTTTAATTCTACTTTATCTATATTTATCTTCTTTTTATTTTATTTAAAAAAACAAACAAACAAACAAACACTAGCTTTCTGTTTTTCTATTTTATCTACTTGTTTTTCTTTTCTTTTGTTGGTTTTGATGACTAAATGTAATGTAAATGTTACATGTAACTAGTTACTCCCCAACACTGTGAAGAAGATAGACAACATACATGTCATGTGACCAATAACAGATATCAGAGAACTGTGAAATGTGAATGTTTTGTTAATTTGTCGAGATTTGGCTGACAAAAAAAAGTTTGGGAATCCTTGCTTTGTGATGTATCATTCTGAATATGTTATATTAATCCAGACGATTACTGGTGTCTTCTCATGGATTGTATGGAAATATTAGCCTCTTTAAGCATTCAGGCTCTTACATTACAGATCACGCTTTCTGTGGAACAGTCATATAAGACAGAAATATAATTCTTAATTAATTCAATGTGAATAGGCACGAGAATGAGGTATTACTATTGAATGATGGCAAAAAATGCTATTTCTGAGCTGTCCTCAAATTACATGCTTGTGTACACAAATATTATAATGTGCACGTTTTCTAATATAAGCTCTCAATATCATTGTGTTATTGACTTTTGTGTTATGCACAATCAGTCAAAAAAGCCTCTTTATGATTTTATGTACATATTTCAAACCCATGCAGCAAGGGTTTAATCATGATTTTTTTTTTTACATATTTTTCAGTATAATAAAAGAACATTTTAATTTTAGATAGATAGATAGATAGATAGATGATAGATAGATAGACAGACAGACAGACAGACAGACAGACA